ATATGGGCTGCGATATTTAAGTTCATGAGTAAATATAACTTGCGGTATACTCCTATTACATATTCATTTTAATGAATATTGTCAATTTGCTCGAAAATGTCCTAGTTTAGTTATATGTTTCGTCCTGAATAAGCATGTACATTTTACCATTAGACGTTAAGTAAGAAACAATCAATCAATCAACATAAATATTAAGTCTTCAACCAATTTAACAACCAGGTTGAACGAGCGCAGATATTGCGCTAATGAAATTTACTACAAATAACGCTAATATCAGCATACGCGTTGAAAATTTTATGTTCCGTAACAGGTCATTAACAAAGCGTAATTTAGGTTGGTTATGTGTGCAAGGTGAACACATTGATGGTAAGTAAGCTTCACATTATAATTTTTTGTGGAAAATGTTGAAGAAAATTATGTTGGAAACACTAAAAAGACTAGTTTGTCGTTTCGGGGCCATTTATAGCTGACTTGCGGTATGGGCTTTGCGCATTGTTGAAGGCCGTACGGTGACCTATAGTTGTTAATTTCTGTGTCATTTGGTCTCTTGTGAAGAGTTGTCTCATTGGCAATCATACCACTTCTTCTTTTTTATAGTTACTGCTTGATATCCAATGAATATCTTTTTGACCATTGTAAAGTAGGTCAACTTAACAAAAGGTATGGCCAATACGTAAATTGTCATACATATTTCCAGAATTAGTATTTTTAATTGATATGCCTATATTGACGGATTTTCTCCATTTCTGCGTATCATGTAAGCTTGAATATCGTTACCAAAGTTACACATCAGTGAATATCATATTAACTTTTTGTCAGTTAGTGGTGCAATTGTGTTTGTTAGTTTGCTATATAATAGATAAATAAATCGCTGAAAATAGAAACTGCAGTCTGTTTTCATATCATGTTTTTATCATTCAAGACAGAACTATTGCTTATATCATGGCCATACGATGGTTTAATGGCGGAAAGATTAATCAAAAACATTTTAAACAATCCCTGACTGTTTTTTTTATATCACAGATGTTTGTTATATATAGTACAAATTAGTTCAGTAATGAAAACCATGCAATAAATTATAAGTGCTCACAATATTGGCATTGGTCTTTTCTTTGAAAAATAGTTATCTCATTAGCAATCCACATTCTGAAATTTTATGCAAGTACTCAGGATTCCTAGTAAAATGCAAGATCTAATCACAAGACACCATTTACTTCCGAAACCATCGGTACATATTGATTTTCTCACCATTAAACCTGACCGAATAATGTTTGCACTGATAGACAAGACCTTTACCGTAGAGAAAACACAACAAATACAATTCTGCTAACCTATGTTAATCAAAATGATAATTTTATTTTCAAACATGCGTTTTGTCCCCATTGCCACTCTATATTACCAGCCAAGCATATTTTGTAATGATAAAATCTTAAGGAAAGGAAGACTGGATTGTGGCTACGTCAATTTGACCATTTGCATTGTCATCTGTGACACAGATATTCCATGACGATCAACCAAATCATAATGTAAGATTTTTCAACTATACAATGTTTTACCCTTGATTCGATAGCTTCCTTGTAAGCAGCAGCCATTTATCAGAAACGATCATGATAGAAAATACCAAATAGAAATTGTCACCCTAACAGCATTATTAGTGAGTGTGAAGATATTGTAAATTAAGCGGTTTAATAGCACACAGTATGTACAAAATTCACCAAAATTGACTGAAAGCAACTAACCCTGTATTATCCATGTATAAAAATCTAAATTCCTGACAATATTCACACTCAATGGTATGCATTGAAGCAATGCCGTTCTGTAATAAAATTGTTTATATTTTTTGTTTACTTTGTTTATCTAAAATTTTGATTTTGTGATGTTAATTGTATATAACTATCATTAAGAAAAAAGGTTTAAAAACTTTAAACATTTATGTTATTGAGGTGCATCTATTTGGAATGCAACAAAATTTATTTCGGTTTCATTTAAAGTCTAATTAAAAAGAAAAACATTGTTAGAATATTTGAGTCGGAATATAATTTTATCGATCTTATAAATATATGTTGATATAGTTTGTGGAGAAATGCACATGTGTTCACTATTTTTCTTTATTTTTTTTTATTTTGTCACGTTTCTATAATAATATTTTGTTAAAAATCATTAATGTAGGTGTACAGCTTTATGAAGTTTTCATCCGATGTTGAATATGGTATTATGTAACATGTAAATAATAAATAAATTCTTCGTCAGAAATTTCATTTTTATATTCCTGAATATCAACTTTATGAATTTACAATAAGCTAAAATGAGTTTGCAATTTTCCACCTTCATGGACATTTACTGCGTCAAGAAATAAAAATCTAGATAATAATATTTTTATGTTAATCAAAGAAAAAAACTCACCATCAATACTAGTATTAAAATTGTGAACGCCAGACACTAGAATAAAAAAATAAATAAAATGACCAAACAAAGTATAAAGTTGAAGAACATTGAGAACTATATGTGTATAGATCGAGCATTTGTTTCTCTCTGTTAAGCCGTTTATATTTGTTCATACCGGGGTCTTTTATAGCTTACTATACAGCATTGATATTGTTAAAGACCATATACGGCATTCTATGGTTACTTTAATCAACGTTATTGGGCATTTGTGGATCATACAGCATCTCAAAAAAGAACCGTCTGCATTTCTATTAGTCCCTATTTATATAGCGGTTCTACGTCTAAATGTATCTCCGTTGAACTGGGGTTCTTCTGCAGGAACATATACCCCATCGCTTCATGCATTCTGCCTGTGCAATATCCCAATCGATGTTCAGGTTTTACAAGTTCAATACAAATATTATACTAAACTTTACTCAATTCTATCATTGATACAAAGACTAGGTTTGAGAGTTTGGCACTATCATTTTTACGGTGATGTTGTTTACCGAGTCCGAAAATTTATAGGATTCAATTAAGTTTATAGATTTTTTAAATAAACGTATTCTAAAAGTTCAAACATTCAACACTGTTATTAGATCTTTGAAGATTGTAGTTATCGGTACAAAAAATAATTTCGTTATTAGTAAACTAAAATCAAACTAAATACTATTGTTATACACATATGTACATTCATAGTCCTAGTATCTTTTGGTACCTTTATTTTGTAATAGCACAAGTTCATGGTTTTCCGTGACTGTTAATGACAACTAAATCAATAGGATGCTGGCTGTGAACTGATTGTTTATTTTTTGGGCTTTGTATCAATCTGACGAGTAACGTCCTTTTCAAATGATGTTATTGTGTGTTTTATTTCACCAATGTTGCAGCTTAGGCAAGAGTTTGGCGCCAGCGTACATGTTTAACCCCTCCAAATTCTGTATGTCTCTGTTCCAAGTCAGGATCCTGCAATTGAGTGGGTGTCGTGTGTTGCCGTATATCATATTTGTTTTTCGTTTATTGTTTTCTACATAAATCAGGCCGTTAGCTTTATCCGTTTCAATCGTTTTATATTTGGAATTTCATAGTTTACTATGCAGTATATTTTTTGCTCAGTGTTGAAAGCCGTATAGTGACCTATAGGTGTTAACTTCTACGTCATTTGGTCTCTGGTGGAGAGATGTCTCTTTGGCTATCATACCACACCTAATTTTTATAAGCATATTCGTATATGCTTGTGTTGATACAAATTTTAAAAGTATGATTTATTTGGTGTTTTGTATCTTTGTAGTTGTTTTGTGCAGTATGTTTATCGTGCTTGTTTGCTACTTGTGGACCCTCGCTGGTTAATAATATTCGTGTTGCAAATAAAGCATTACACTAAAAATAATTGAAATTTGTTCATCACTAGTAATCACCATATTATACCTATTTCTTTTATATCTAATGCTTATTTGGCATTTTATAAACTATTTCACATCACTTTGAATTCTAGACCAACTCAAAACAAAATATTTTGTTAAAATTAGTTCGATCTACTGTTTTTGATTGTGTACAGGATATCCCGTTGATATTACTGTTGAGAAAGTGTTTGTGAAAAGATTATTCAAATGGAAAACGTATTATGATATTTAAAGTAAACCGTCATCATACTTAATAGAAATATAGTATCTATCTCACGCTGTTTATATAAGACGATTGATATTTTAACACTTTCCCAAAGATGAAGTGCAGACGATATTACCTTGGCAATACTACAATAAAAGAAATTTTAAAGTATACAAATAAGGATTGTATGTAACTGTATGTCAATTTACAGACCTTTGAATGCATAAATAGCTACAGAGTGCAAAATTTGTTATATTGTTGTTAAATACACTTCACTTTTAATTTTTACCTAAATGCAAGTAAACCTTTAAAACAAGTTTGACAGTAAAATTGAGAATGGAAATGGGGAATGTGTCAAAGAGACAACAACCCGACCATAGAGCAGACAACAGCCGAAGGCCACCAATGGGTCTTCAATGCAGCGAGATAGTGCATATATAATATAAAAAATTTTCTTTCTTTGCTACATTTGTTGTTATCTAGTTAAATTAGAGTCTCCCTTGTTGATCATCAGTGTATTTATACATGTATATTGTCGGAAAATAGTTTTGAAACATGTAGGAGCCTTAAAAAGAGGACGAAAATCAAGGCTTGTCAAGAATTTTCCTGCTTGGTAGCGAGCACAAATAAATTCTATATTTTGCAACTTTATACTTATATGTATCCTTTTATCCTGTTATTTAATTTTGACGCTTTAACGTTTATTTTTTTTCTGTTATTTCCTACCATTGTAATATCTTTTATTTTTCAAATCGACAATGTAGTCATTATGGGATGTCTCATAGTCGAAAACGGTGCGTTGACCTATAGTTACTATCATCTACCTCATTTGGTGGATAGTCGTTTCATTGACAAGTATACCAGATCTTCTTATTCTATATGGCTGAAACACAATTCGCAAAGTGGACCCTCAAATAAAATGTGACATGAAAAAGTAATCTATAACATCACTTTCTTTTTTATTGCAGGCAAAACCTTTGTTAGATGATAGTCACATCAATAAATACATCAGTTCTAAAAAACTTCGTGAAGGTAACAAAAACACTTTTTAGTGGGAAAAAAGGTTGGCAGGAAATGAACATCGATTTAGATAAGATTCATAAGTTTTACAACATATTTTAAAAATGAGTATTTAAAAAATCCATTACTTTGCTAAATATTAAGTGTTTTGCGTCTTCAATTATTATAAAAGTTTGATAGGCAATATTAGTTACTATATATATTAAATAACCAGATGACGATTAAAGCATTATTTATGCACACGGTATCAGTATCGAATATTCAATGGAATATATCTACGCCACCTTGTTGTTTGATAAATTGCTATGCATGTGACGGCGATAACAATCCTTGTTTGAAGCGAGTTTAGTGAAATTTAGCACACCAAAAAACAACATGTCATTTATTTGTTGCATCATACAATAATAATAGATTAAAATATATCAACAATCATTACATCAAAAATATAGGGGATAATATGATATCTACACTGTCTACATTCCTCATCTACTTTTCTCCAATTTGTTCGGGCATGTCACTTGTAATTCTGTTTTCAGTATATACTTTATTAACTTAAAGTTATATATTACTTTTAAATTTATCTACATATGTGTTTATGCAATATCGATCGTGTGTGTTCTATCAAAAACATACATGTATGTAACGTTTTTTTATCATGCACATCGGCTGACACTAAGGTATAATATCGATCTTTTGACGTCATTCGATGAAGTTCTTATTGGTATCTCGTAAATAACAAATCAAAGAAATAAAAAAGGGAGGAAATAAAAACAATATGAGTGCTACTTCTTGAAATCACACTAGCTTCTTAAAAACAACCCTTCACACATATAAAATGTATTTGTAAATATGTTTATATTATTTTAGATGGATTTAATGAGTTTGAGTTGACTTCAGTCCAAGAGGTAACAAGTTCACATCAACAGAGGTAGGATAATTTAGTTTTTGCAATACTGTGAGTTAAGATCAGATCATTTGCATTTATAAAAGAAATGTGCCATACGTGTATACACACTTCACAACATAGCCTTCCGTATACAAATAAGGATATATGGCATAATTGCCAATGAAGCAACTATCCACCCGGCCAAAATGACGTGGCTTAAGCAACTAAAGGTCACCATACGGCCTTCGACAATAGGTAAATCCCCTACCGTCTAGTCAGCTATAAAAGGCTTTGACGTGACAAACTTTGAAAAATTCAAATAGTACTAAATTGACTGCAAGCAAATAATCTACAGTACTGAATATACTGCAGTGGATGAGTCTGGAATTTAACTGAAACACTTAACATGACTTGTTCAGACTTTCCGAATGATATTAAGATTTAGATGACTGTTTTAGACAAGTATTTATACAATATGTCAAGGTCAATAAATACCAACAAATGTATATGCAATATGTCAAGATCAACACCAACAAACAAACGTATATGTCATATGTCAAAGTCATCAACCACAGAAAAATGTCTATATCATATCTAAAGATCATCAACACGAGACAAGTTTTTCTACCATATGTCAAGGCCAACAACAGGCAACTGTCTGTTTCATATGTCAAGGTCAACAACAAAAACCAAATGAAACTTACATATGGCAAGGTCAACAACAACAGGAAAGTGTCTATGCCATATGCCAAAGTTAACCACATAGCTCTCGACAAGTGTGCTTACCAAAGGTCAAGGTCAAAAACAACAAAACGAAAGTCTATACTATATGTCAAGTTAAACTACAACAGGCAAGTGTCTTTGTCATATGTCAAACGTAACACTAAACGATTTAGACAAGTGCAATACCATATATCAAATTCAACAACAGACAAGTGTCTATACCATATTTCAATGTCAACAGCAACAACAATAGACAAGTGTCTGTATAACCGATTATCGATAAAGATAAAACAAAAGAAAAAGAATAGAAATTGTGTATTAAACACAAATCAAAGAAGAAGCGCTTTAAATGAGGTTCATTATCTACAAGTTAACCAAAAGATTAAAACATAGTCAACAACATACAAATTGTCTGACTAAGGACAAACACACTGATAAATGTTAGAAGAAGCTATATTTTTGGTAGTTTTTTTTTATCCGGCTCATTGGGAAAACATAAGTAACATAGAACGTGCGACACGAAATCAGTATAAAAAAAATTTTTAAAATGCATTTACCACTACAATATCTGAATTGTAATCGACAAGAATACAAGTTCAATTAAAACAATACCAATGAAATAGTATTAAACAATGCTTACAGTTACAAAAACGAATGGTACATAAACCACTGTGATAAAGAAAATCAATTTAAACCATCTTACATGTTATCATAGGTCAAGACAGAAGCATAAACTATTTAAAGAAAACTTATTCTAATTGCAGCCTAGATGCTTCATCAATCCATCGACGAAGACGGTCAGTAGATTCCACAGAATCATATGATATTGAAATATCTGCATTTGGGGAATCTTACAAAATGACTTTCCAACATACCAAGTCGATTCTGCACCCTTCAGCTAAAGTTTCCATAATGATTGATGAAGAGGAAACAGAATGGAATGGAGACCATCCGGATTGTTTTTTGATTGGAAATGTCCATTCTCATGATGGAACTGTCTCGGCATCATTTTGCGAAGAATTGGTATAAAATTGTTTTTTTTTCGAAATTGTCAACTTTAAACAAAGGAGGGAATATATAAACTTGAAAATATAGTTACAAGTAAAAACTTCCGTCTACTTATTATAATTTTGAAAAATTCTGCACATGTATTTTAATAGAGTTCTCAGTTTTTGCAAAAAAGTGTTTCGACTACTTTATTTCACTTTTGTGAAAAATGCAACAAATACTGAATCTGTTAGAATTAATGAAGTTGAATAAATAACTCCATATTTTGTTCTCTGATACACAAAACTATGTCCGCCTAAATCTGTTAATGTTTAGTATGCATGAATGGTTTGAATTCGAATTCACTTGGTAATATCATACTGTACACACGTTCCAAACACGATGCACACAGTATGACTTGTTCTCGATTACTAAATCTAAACTGTAGCCACAACTGGTAACAGCAAGGATCATCCAATGAATAACAGCTACTAAGGTACTGGCAGGATTTTATATAAATGTGCACCTTAAGTTAAAACTTTAGTGTCATCATAACTTTCAATAACAACAATATATTAACCCTCATCTTAATCTCATATTGTGCATAAGAACGTAAGTAAATATAAAATTTATCAATTTAGCGAGGAATGATGTCAACTAGCGACCATGAGTTTCACTTTGAAGTTTTACCACATCGTATTCGAAAACGTAGTTTATTGAGGGATGAACCGCATACAACACTTATAGCAAGAAAACGAATTGAAGATATACAGTTCTCAGATTTAAGCCAAACGAACGGTAAGCATCGATTTTTCTAAAAACGTAAAAACGTTTATTTTAAAATTGTGCTGGCTGTTACTTAGTATATAGCTACCAATAACATAAGAGCAATAATAACATACTCTTTTATGAGAAATATACTTTGTAATATAATGATATAACTTGAATTTGTCAATAAAAGATGCTGATCTTGAAGGCAGCAATTAAAAAAGACATACGATAGTTTGCATAAAGAAGATTTTTGTTTAGGAATAGCTGTAATATTTTTTCTGTCTATGAGAAAATAACATAAAAAATGTGGAACACACTTAATTACCCGAATTCCTGTTTATTTAAAAGTGTACACCACATGTTTATGTTATTTTTCATAGACTGAACAAAATATAACAGTCATTCCTAATAATTTAATTTTTAATTCCATTTTTAAGTATTTAATCATGAAAAAACGTTGATGACGTCACGGTCACATGACAAAATTATGTCTATGAACTGATCGACAAAAACAATTTCAGCCAATCGAAAGACGTGTTACACCCAAAATTAAATTATCGAGGAAGACCCGATATCATATAATTGTAATATCAAGTAACCATGGATTTAGAACAAAGTTTACATCTTAGCAAAACATATCTGGTTGATCAATGAAAAAAATAAACGTTTCAGGCTTAAATGCAACTATTTACTACCACGCTCTGTATTGATAATGGATTATTCAAATTGAATATGTTTGTTTCGTACTCCATATCTTTAAGCTTTCTCTTTAGAGTTTCGTGAAGTACCGGATCAAAACCTTTTCATACTTTTCCAGATTACATTCCTATTAATCAAACTGAGTATAGCCATAAAAGAATACATAAACGGTCGGTACCTTCTTCTGACTTCACAATAGAATTGGCAGTGTATTGTGATGCTGACTTCTTGTCTTATAAACTACCAGCTACTGACATAACACGCAGAGTTGAAATCATGCTTTGCAAATATAATGCAGTAAGTATATTTATTTAATGTAAATAAATTTCAGAATACGCATTTTTGTTAAAAAATTGGTCCTGTCGTTATAAGATCCTCAAGATGAACATCACATAAAGAATGTCATACCTCGTCGTTCAAATGACCTGACAAATGATTATTTCACATCATGATCAAAAATAAAAATGTAGCGTTATTAAAATACCAATATTAACGTACTTTAACATTGGTTGATCGGGATGTATACATGCTTCAACTTTGGAAAGTTTTGTGTATGTTAACTAACTTGAACTACTCACAAGACCAAACAAATCGTTCACGTCCTTACCATACATATAATATTCACACTGGACATTAAGAAATCAAATCTAACAAAGGAGTTGAAATATAAGAACGTAAACAAACAGACAAACATGAGAGTTAAAAAAACCTGTCTGAATCGCACAAACCGAGTGAACCGAGATTATGGTAAATATCTAGTGATTTTATGATCCATTAGCAATCGTCATGGTCCAAAGTCTTGTGTGCTGTATACATTTCGTCTTATTCCTGGACCTTCTTACAACTATCGTTTCGGATATTGCCAATCAAAGACATAATAGTGAAAACGATGATGCAGAGATGTCATTTCTAAAACGTTTATTTGCAAACAACGGTCTTTAAATTACGCATTATACTGATCACTTATAAGCCAAATATAAAATACCCTCTAAAAATATATGTAACAATGATGTCTCATACCTATATTGTACCGAATTTAATAAAATACTTTAAATACATGTATACACACGTCTTGCAGAAAATCAAAACTGACAACTTCAAGCCTAAACCTCTTCGTTCATATATATTTTCTACGAATTATGTTAGCCAATGTTCAAAACTGGAAAAACAACTTTAGAATGACATTATAAAGTAGTGAAAGTGCCTTCTCGGGGCGGCTGAATCAAATGTGGATATTGAAACTTGTAAATATAGGATCCAGTAAAAGTTTGAGTCCTCGTACAATGTAAAAAAATATTTGACTTCTATATCTTGAAACTTTAACCAATTATGTCTGTTTGTTTTGTTCACACATTGTTGTCAATATAATGGAAATTTATGCGACTGTCATACAAGTGAGAGGTTTAGCTAGCTTTAAAACCAGGTTTTCACCACAATTTCCTACATAAGGAAATGCATGTTCGCAGTCAGGAATATTACAGTTATTTTCCATTCGTTTGATGTGTTTGAGCTTTTGATTTTGTCATTTGATTAGGGACTTTCCGTTTTGAATTTTCCTTGGAGTTCGGTATTTTTTCTTTTTTTACTTTTCAGTTGTCATCATTCTGATGGTAAAGAGAGATTAAAAGAATAAGTTGTACTTTATTTAATAAAAGAGTGGATACTGTACATACACATATCTTGTTTAAGGGAGAGAGAAGTCTTTTACTGTATACATAAAAAAAACTCTTCTTTAAACAAAACTCGAAGCTGACAATAAAGATTGACTTAACATATTTGTTAGTTTAGTGGACGTAATTTTCAACAAGATAGTCGCCTTTTTAATTGCTCATACCCATGTTATTCTCGCTAAACTGAGTCCCGTTTTGTATATAAATACACTCATCATATATATCAGGATTAAAATATAGTACGCCAGACGCGCGTTTTGTCTACAAATGATTCATCAAAAACAGTCGAATAAAAAAGTTAAAAGACCAAATAAAGGTTGCAGTTACAGTCATAAGAAACAAGTTTCTTGAAATTTGATGTTATCGAAATTATTGAACGAATGTATGTATATACTAAACTAAATATTGTATACACGTTTTTTATATTTATTACGAATCTATCGACGAAGTGCCGACGTTTAACGGATCTTGACATTTATAAACACTAAACACAACAGAACATGTGGAAAAAACGTGATATATAAGTGAATTAAAAGAATCATGACATTTGTTTTTCTATTTACCATGCATTCCCATTTGTTAATCAAAGTTTTCCTCAACAGTTGTTAAATGATTTGTTGTGTTAAATGTGTTCTTTAAGAGTCTGTTATTACTATTTACCTTCCTTGGTATGCTGTTTACATTCTTTCATCACGGCATTCCACTTGCACTGGCGCTGTGCTGTTGCCGAAGTTATAACGAGATGTCTCGGAGTTAAGGTCACTGCACACGGGAACATATCGGCAAATTAGTGTCTAGGAAGACAACAATTCACTTTTGGTACATTTATGGAGATTTTGATAATATAAAGGATTTTCTTTCAAAAGAAAGTTCATGTTCACCTCTTTTATAGTAAAACTTAGCCATTCAAGTATATAAAACATATCCAATTTTATTTTAAATTTGAAGTTTCATATGACTTTAATAAGCATTGAGAATCCAGAATGTTGAAAGGTTTTGCTAAATTCGGCTATGGTAATCTTTTCATGTGGTAGGCCATCCATCATACAGGAGCAATAAAAAGGATAAAAAAGAAAAAGAGATGTCATGTCAATAAAAAATCGAACTTTGATAATTATATTGAGGGTAGCTATCGCTTGAATTTAAGGATACCACTTTTACAGTTTAGTCCGCTTCATTATCTTGACATACCTAGAAATTGACAATAGGGGTCGATCGAAACCTAAACGTTCTGAATTACAATTAATGTTATTTCCATTTTATACGTATCAACATTCCAGTAGCAGCTTTAAATTGGCTGTATCTGTATATCTCAAAGTAAACGCGATATTTCAGAACTTGCTTTTTTTGTCATGATTTGTTTTGTCATAAATGTTTACTTTTCTGTTGAAAACAATCGTAAAGACAAATTAAAACAAAGAATGGCAAACGAAGATATATATTGCTTGTTTTAGGAACGTATACATATTAGTTTTATAAAGTCTTATGTAAAAAGTTATGTTCAAGGTAGAAACAATCTTTTATTTAAAAAAACAACGCTATGTTTGAACATAGGTCCTAAGCAATAGGATGGGTGCCACTAGTGGAGCAGATCTGCATACCATTTCATAACATTTGAGATCATCAACGGTTTTTAGAATGGTTCGTGTAACTCATTCGAAAGTTTTCAGTTTTGTTTGGTACTACTTATCCTTGCTAGCCGATTGTTGGTGCATTAGTACCCCAGAAAAAGGTGTCAAGCACACATAAATCATTAATATCGGCCCTTTTAAAACAGTTATTAATGCATTTTCCGAAATGATGAATTGCTCCAGGTTTACTGTGGAAGATAATTGTAAAGGAACAATTGAACGTATCATTCCAAATCTATTCATATTCCAAAGAAAGATTTTGTTAACTAATATATTTATCTTGTCATTCATCTTGACTGGGATCGAGGGTTGAATACTTCAATATCGCTTTTCGAATATAATCTCTTGAACTTATGAATTGTTAACATTTCTTTGGATGTAATTTGCTTATTAGATAAATTAGAACTTTATCCAAAGATGAAAAGATTAACCTAATCAGATATACAAATAAGAAGATGTGGTATAATTGTCAATGAGACAACTTTCGACCTGAAGCCAAATGACATAGAAGTTAACATCTATAGGTCATTGCATAACCTTTAACAATGAGCTAAACCAACATCGTGTAGAGTCTATTAATCTGACGATGATGTTATGATGACATCTGGAACGCAAGTCGGACACAATTCTACGAGACTTAATTCTATTACATTGTTTTGTAAGTAAGCATATGGAGAATTGTCTGTCTATCATAATTTTCAGAAAAATAATTGGACAAAAATTAGAATTGAAAAGACATTTTATTTTTCTAGCTGATTGCATCCTTAGAGGGAACACTCAGAATCACCAAACAAAAGCTTCCTAAATGTTTGAAAGTTCTTTGCTTTTAGTTGGTTGCTTATATTCATCTGTCACTAACATGAATTATAATATGAACACAAAGCAAACAAAAACACGAAAGCTGATTAAATGTATATTTTTTATCTTTGCAGGTGCAGTTTGAATGGAGTCGTGCTGATGTGTTAAATTATAACGTCACTCTATCAATCAAACTTTTGACGTTTTTTGATACAAACCCAGTGAGATTAATTATATGCATTTTTTGTTGACTTTTCAAATATAAAGTCCTCACTTTTTTCATGAATAATGAAAGATAACTACGACTTCATGTGTTGTATCTTCAATTCGTTATAAAATAACTAAAGAAGAAAGAGTTTACGGATTTAAATTTGTAAAAACGAAAGACAAACTTTTAAATCATTAAACGTCTTAAATATATTTGCTTTATCACATAAGAGGGAGTCTGAAATTATCTCTCACAAATTTGACCATCGGCGCTAACACTTAAAGCGTTTCCTCCTCGGGGGATTTGTTTTATTTGGAGGCCTCCGTATGAAATTATTCCTGTTGTATGTGCAATTCTACTGCTTTTGTCGTTTATCAATCCTTATATAAAAGGTTAATTTATTTAACAATGTTATGTGTTGGGAAATGTTCTGAGTTCCCGCACTTACTTGTGTTTTTCCGTGTTGTCATTGTGTAATACATTAAATATCAAACAATTCATTTATTTGGAAACACAGTTTCTATGTTAAATGTATTACAGTCGTAATGATACGTGTTTTGACTTTCTAATTCTTATACAGAAGATAGTTATGTTAACAGTCCTTTTTGTAAATTTAAGTTTTTGTCGGATATTCGTCCTTCATACATCAATAAAACAAAACAAACACCTGAAAAATAAAATATCTCTAACGCTAAAATCTTACTAGCATTTAGATGTACGTTAACACGTGGCGATGTTCAACGATATTTTAGAACACAGCTGTCCTAAAGATGTTACCTTTGTTATTTTTCTATTTCAGTCCTGGTACAACGCTTCCACTTCTCTGTCCGTTCCCTTGAAAACTATATGTACGGGAACTCAAACCTTAGCTTATGATCATGTACATGTTCATACAGGGTAAGAATTAAATCATTCCGACAGTATACCAAAGATAAACAGCTACATGTCGATTTGAAAAAAAACAGCATTTCACGCGTTTTAATTTGTTTGCATGTGTTGTTTACGAGTGGAATTTATTTAAAACGACATTTATACATTTACCAAAATAACTGTAATAACAGTACGTAATATTCCCATTGAATATAATTAAGAAATGTGTTATTTGTATATTTGAAGTGAATAATTTAGTCTTCACTGTTCCTTTCACAGCAAAGTGAATGCTAATTTATAGCTGACTTAAATGAAAACTGTAAGTTGGTTTTAGGTAAATATTCAAAGATCTTAAGTTTTTTGATAAATTGAGATGTCCAATTTTGTTACAAAAAATAAACTACTGGAAATTTATGCAGCAGTCAAGGATATTTTCATTGATAAAAATTTCACAAAACAAAATGGGAATTTAAAAATATTTTAATACAACTAAATAACATCTACAAAATCCAAATGAAACATAATTTTATGCCGTGATACACATAAAGCAAATACGCCATTTAATGAATTATTTATTACGATTAAAAATACGCTCAAAACGTATGCTTACTCTGTTTTTTGTGTCTTGTGTCGATTGGTAGCTGGCTCATTGATGTATACCCAAAATATCATCTTGTATTGCGCCTGACGAACGTTGCAAATGTTGCTCATTGACTAATCATTTTATATAATTATAGCATACCTAAACCAGAATTGGGAGGATTAGCTTACCAAAATGCAGTTTGCAATACTAGGTACAGATGTGGTGTTTCTGCAGATGGGATTACAACATATGTCGCAACAGTCCATGAAATAGGTCATAAGTATGTTTTTTCATGCACTTTGATAAACTACGATTTGACCCTTCATATGTGATGATTCTGTAAAATAGCTTGAAATGACAGCATAACATTTATTGATTATTTTTACATCTTAATATTGAATGTTTTCTGGATTTGTTCATCTTTTCGCGTCGTTTTGTCTGTTTTATGCCAAGTCGTTGTCAATTTTTCATCAACTTATGAGTTTTGATTGCCCCTTAATACAATAATACAAAGGAGAAATGAGTTTAAAAACATTTCACATCAGTAAAGGCCAAAAATGTTTGCAATTTTTTAAATAGTTAACCATAACTATTACAACTGACGTCATTGATTACAGCATGGGTATGCTGCATGACGCTGATAGAAATTGTTCATCTCCAGACGTTGGTATTATGGGTGGTGCTGGCGTGGGATGGAGTACATGTAGTTGCAATGATATGAACACAAGGTTACAGTAAGGAAATACAATTTACTATAGTAGAATAAAAGGTTCCTGTGGTATTTTAACATATTGCTGATTTCCTGACTATATGCTAAAAGACATATTTTTAAAGTAAAAATTAATTTTTGGATAAAAAGATAGTGACGAATTAGTAAAGCATTCGCCGCACCGTAATACATTTACAAGAAAAGATTTTAAAATAATTTTTTGTTGTTGTCCCATTTCGTATGTAACTGTGTTACTCGATTTGTTACGTACTCTTAATATTGTTTACAGAACTGGCAATCATGGGTGTCTATGGATAGAAAATATTGCTGATAATGAAGTTACCCCAGCATCTTTACAGGGATTGATATTAGTGCCAGAACTTCCAGGTAAATACACTTAAAAACACGTTCATTTCTGCAGTAGAAAATGAAAATTCAAGTTTAATATACGATAATTTGGATCATTTTCCGCTGACGTTTAAGGCAGTAGATATTGTGACCACCTTGTGCGACTAACACAATTCTATATCCCCTTGGCATGGATTATTAAATTTTGTATTCAGACCTGTGGTATCCTGTGACATCCATGTTTGAGTGAGTTCATCCAATGATTAAGGTATCAAAATTTGACCGAAATATGTTCTATGGAGATCAAAATAGGCGATTTTGAGGGACACGGCAATATATTAATTTTGTTCTGATATGCACGTACGTAGCACGTGCATATCTGTGTGCCTGGATCAAAACCAATTCAACATAATGTCTTCTTAGTCAAATTCTGCTCTTAAAAAGCATGTTACAGACTTCCTTGGTTGAAATTCTCACTAAATCATTGACACTAGCAGCCGTAGCTGTAGCAGACTGTTCGATTACATAAATTAACATCCACATATAACAATATTTGGTTGAGATAGGAATGACAGCAATTTCTATGGCAATCATATAGTTTGATTTAATGGTTGCCAAATGCGTAAAAGTATGAGTTTTGTAAACATTGAATTGTCGGGTGAATTCAACAGATTTCCAGCCTGGTTACGTGAAACAGGTTCGAATCATTACATAGCGCCATTTTACAGAAGAAATGATAAATTCAGGTAAAAAATTCATTTTTTTTTAATTTTTTTTTTGCATGATAGTTTTAGGGATATTTTTATCACAAATTTCCTGAAGGATACATGAAATGTTTTTCTGCAAGGTTACTGGAACCTTTATTTTCCAGGACTTGAAAAATACACTCGGTGAGTTGTCAAATTGCTCGTACCGACATTGTGTATATTAAATACTCGTTGCATAAATATGTAGTGTTTTGATGTTCATTTATCAATTTTTGGAATGAGTACGACTTATTTTGTTTTTCATGGTGTAATAATGATTACTTCAAACGAGCAGTTACTTCGTTTGCGGACACCAACGGTTTTAGTTTTAGTTTTTTGTTAATCAAAATTTTTCTTTGATCCGTTTTTTCATTTGGCCATGAATTTGTCCGTTTTCCATTTGGTCATAGATGTATCCGTTTTACATTCTGCCATGGATTTGTCGGATTTATAATTTGCCCTTTGATATGTCCGTTTTTCATTTGGATAAGGAATTGTATTTTTTTTTCATTATACAATGGCTTTGTCTGTTTTTCATTTGGCCATGTATTTGTCTGTTTTTCATTTGGCCGTGTATTTGTTTGTTTGTTTTTTTTTAATTTAGTAATGGGTTTCTATGTTTTTATTTTTTCATTACGTCAACACTTTGTTCGATAAGTCAAATTGACTTTGGCCAATTCTAATTTCAGATTTACATAACATTAGAATTGACGGGAAAATGCCTCATTTCGATTATTTTTATTTTTGGCTTTGTCTTTCCAAATTTTTGGGAATTTAACCGTTAGTTTTAGGGAAATTTTCATATACGAAGCACTAACTCCTGGAGTGTATTCCTCAAAAATTAACATTATTGTTATGACTGATAGAAGGAAACTCCCTTTTAGATTTTTAGTTTTCTGGTTTGTCGTTCCATAAGTTACGAGAAATTAATTGTAAGATTAAAGTATAACTTTGTCATGTTGTACATTGACTCGAGTTTGTTTGAGTAAATATTACAAACCGTTTGATTTAAAAAAAAACCAGTTTAGATATTTCATTCATTGTAATGGGACTTCGATCGTCATATACATACAAAAGTATTATCTTAATATTACATGTATGCCCTAAATCTAGTATGGTTGGATCATATACCACAAACCTAAGACTGTTGTTAGGGAAGGTGAATTTAGATTTGCTTTTGATTTTGAAAACTTTCTGGTTTGTCTTTTCAGATTTTCAGAGTGATTGGACTTTGAACAGCTATACTTTCCGCAATCATTATAATCCTAAGGACACCATCAGACATGTTTTCTATAGAGCCATTGTATTTGCTTCTGCTTGGATGCCTTCTAAATATCACTTTTAGTTTGGTAAAATTTCAATATGCATATATGATAAGGGAGTACCATGCGTTGATTTATTCATTTGGCCATGAGTTTGCCTATTTTATCCATGACTTACGTTTTTTTCAAATACTCCAGTGATATCTTCTTCCTCTCTGTGAATCCAAAAAAAAATTCTTATTCTTGTTGAGACGACCTGGCAGATATATAATAGTAGTGTGTTGAGTAATATATTGATTTATTGTAAGAACGACAATGTATTTGTTAACTTGTAATAGAAAGACCTTTTATGTGATGATTTTCAATCAGACATGACACAGTGCTTCATAAAAGTGGTATTTGGATTTGGATTTTTACATCGATATAAACCCTCAGTTTTTTTTTAGTTTTTTTTTTTTTGTGTGTTTGAATTGTTTCATTTATAGTTTTCTGTGTTGTGTTTTTTGAACTGCTGGATGTTTTTTTCTAACTGTTTGTTTTCTTTTGACTAGTGATTTTTATCTTTCCTCTTCCGTTTTTTTCCCCACCATTTTACATATGAAACAGCATGTTCACAAGACAAAGTTCCACATAAAATATAGTATATAATAATGTTCATGTAGGCATAGCAGCTTTAGACATATTGTTTTTTATTGGAGACAACATAGCTATAGAGGTTTAATATTAATTGAAAACTATATATGTTTATGTTCAATATAGGTAAACGTGCTATTTCGAACAGTTTGTATTTAAATAATTTCTGTAAACTAGCTTTCATACTTTGTTTTTATTATCAGGTCAGATGAAGACAGCAGATGAAATATGTGAACAGTTGTATGGAAGTGGATTTAAATACCGTGAATATCCGAATGTTGTGGTGAGCAAATTTTAATTTCTAAGCATTTTCTTCATTATGACTCATGAAATTGTAAAATCATTTTTAAATAGAAACTGACAGCACCAGACATTTATGCTGAGCATGGTGATTTCAGATTTAGTGATAAGCTTCATTTGTTGATGGCACGATCGAAGAAAAAAGGACGGGATTGTGGATACATTTGTGTAGTCACCTGTGACACATGTATTTGATACTTAATGGTCAACCAATTCGTGATAGCGTTCGTAATTAATTCTATCTCAGTATTTTAGTTTTATCAAATTTTAAGCCGGGTATCTTTGATGAAATTATACAATTACTTTTAATTGCATCACCTGTGGTTGTAAAAGTTGCATGTCAAAATGTTCGATGCCGTCACTAAAGTGATCACAAAAATCTAGAAATAAATGGTTATGTACTAATCAACAATACCTTAATTGAGTTTGTATCTGTCGGCAGGACCCAGTTTGTAACATTTATAGCTGTGTCGATCATAACGTTGGGAATACACATGGGCAGATGTTCAAGCAGTCTGATTCTGTTACCGGTTTATACTGTGAAGATCAAAAGGTGAATATAAAATAACAATATTGTTAGGGGTCATATATTGTGTAAAGTTCTGCTTCCAATGTGTAAAGAAACTTAGTTGTATATAGAACATTAGCACATTCACACTAATTTCTTTTCGTGCAAGTTGAGCAACTTATTAACTTTCATTGATATCAAAAGCTACAACTACGTATGCGAGTTATTCGTAACTGTTGATCTTTTTTCATGAATTGTTGTAAAACGCTATTTGTATGGGGTTAGGTTATCCCTGTCCTTGGTGCATTTACACTTTTCCTGTGAGAAAAATAGGAAAATACTCAAAAGGCATATACTCATGCGATGAAGGTTTTTTTTCAATAATAATAGTGAAAAAAATTGTATAGTCCGGCAAACAAAACACACAGAAAATCAAAACACTGGAGTAAACTCCGGAAGGGTAAATATTTTCTTTCTTTACTGGCTCCATTCTTTGTGTTGCTCATGGTTGGTACAAATGAGCAGATAAATCGCATTTATGTCATCAACTACAGAAAGAAGTGTGGAAGATGTGGCACATGTTGCTATTGTAAGTCAAACCTCGATGATTACTCTAATTTGGTAAGTCACATTTGAAAAATGAACAGGATTGTGGTTACGACAATTGGAACATGTCCCTCGTCAAAACGGTTTTCTATATAAGGGTAAAATCTCACAATGGTTGTTCGTGAAATTTTGAAAATTTTAAAAGGGATGACTTTAACCTTACCACTTGGAACTATTGGTTTAAAATCTTCCTTGCTCTGTCCATAAATCATGATAGGAAATGCAAGCTCTTGAATATCTATCAAATCGGAGATACATACTCCATATGCAGCGTTGCAGGAATGTTGCTTCAAAGAATTGGAAAGTTCACGTTCGGGAAGTTAAAATCATCTATTTTCTTGTTAAGTTTTGTTCTGAACCGACCCTCATTGTCAAAGTCCAGATGAAGTAAAAATATGAAGAACACTTAACTTTATCTGTTTTATGCTGTATTTCAAGTTCGATGGGATAGATGCGTTCAACATTGTCACCAATGACATTTATGATACCAATTTTACTGCACCAGATGCGCATTTCGACTAATAATGTCTGTTCAGTGATACACGAAGCCAAAAAATTTAAAATTCAAAAACAATTATTCAAATATTGATGAGCTGATGAAATCAAAAAGGACAAAACACTTTAAATTATTTATCGAGGGAAGGATTGAATTCAGGCTACGAGATAGTAAAATATCCGGCGTCGTCTCTGTCCTGGACAGTTCGTATCGTTTTATCAGACCATTAGGACACCAGGTTAAGTGTTCATTTAATCGGAATAAAGAATAAACATGAATATAATCAGACAGATGAAAAAACATAGGCCCGACGAAAGTAATTGTCGCGTGCATTCCAATTCCGCCAAATTAATAAACAAAGAAAATGTAAAAATTCACATGAGACAAAATTTAACATTAGAAATAACGATTTATTATTATATCGTTTGTATTTCTGGAATTGTTGTTCTTTTTTCAGCTTGCAATTATCATGTACACGAACTTTACCACACACAGTTTAATTTGATTTTTTTTAATCGTGTTATATGCCAACTTTATTAATTGCGGCACATTCAATTGAATCTTTACTTAGATCTGCTTTGGCGGTGCGTGTGTTGATTGTTCTGAAGCTCAATTACCTAATCCTGAAGTACGTGCAGGAGGATGGTCGGATTGGGGAACCTGGACAACCTGTTCCCGGACATGTGGACGAGGAATGCTTTACAGACGACGAATATGTAATAACCCAACGTAGGTTTTTTTGTAATTTCTTTATCTTTAAATGTTGATGATTATATGAAATAAAAGAAATTAAGGATATTTTGTGACTTATGAGTTGAATACAATTTGTTGTTTTTGAAATAAATCTTTTGTCAAATTGATATTTCGCATGCTACTAGACTAAAAAAATAACTTATTAAATTACTTGCTGTATTTTGACACTTCACATCTCCGAAAACGGTAATGCCGACTATTTTCATTAATATTCAACTGTTATTTCAAAACACGTTCAAACTAAATGGGTGTTACTGATAGACAGACATCCATGACTGAAATTTGGGCACTAAATCACGAATATGTACAAGATGTGTGTAAAATTCAACAGAAACTGTAGATTACTTGAACTTAACACTGAATTCTCCACTGTGTGAAAAAACTATCTGTGCAGAATTTTTACAGATCAATCAATGGAGATCTGGTATGATTTCTGAAGTCCAAAACGCATAAAGTGTTTGAAATGCGACATGAACCTAATTATGACGCAGGTCTTAGTCACATGTTTTCTCAATAAGTATGACAACAAAACAGAGGAAAGTGATTGTGACACACAAAAAAAAAAACAGCCATGTTTTGCAGATCTCAACTTATACTTTACTAATTAGTGAATAATCATAATAATTAGTAAATCGTTTTGTTTAATACTTTAGTCCAAAGAACAGTGCAAATTGCGATGGAAATGAATACGAAGCTGAAGGTTGCAGTCTTACGGTAGTTATTGGTTTGTTTTCTAATTTTTTATAATGATTGTCCTTGTCAAGCTATAATCTTTACATGATGATAAATTTATCATATTATTACAGTGTTGGATTTACTTTCTTTGTATCACATACCAAAAGAGACAGTTGATACCAAAGGGACAATAAAAGTTCATAAATCGAAGACCGGCAAAACAATTGCAAAAAACAAAAACGAGAAACACTGCATAGAAAACTAAAGACTGATCAACCCAAACTAAACCAAAACCTGTTGGTGATTTTCATGTGCTCCAGAAATGTGCGTAAAACATACCATTTGTTCTGCATAATATTTATATTTTTCGAAATAGATTGTTTGATAAATAATATAAACACTGTGTATTGGTCTGTTCATTTATTGAATAAAACTTCTAATTCATAGCCCCATTAGTTTCTATGTTAAATTCTGGAATTTCAAGCATTCATGACTACTTTGTCTTAAATTCAAATAAAGTGCTGTCATTTCATGTCAAAATTATACCTTATCCTAACTTGTGCCGAAAAAATTAAAATACCTTTAATTGCGTATTAAAGCGCACTAGTTCCCAGAAGTATAATAGTAAAAAAACATAGGTACTTCTGATCTTAACAACAGGGCAAATGTGCATTTCAATTATAATTTCATATATTCAAAAGAAACTTTCAACAAAGGTCCAGTAGTGGTCCCTAAGCATTCATTTGATACCAAAATTACCCAAATAATTTACTGATTGACAAAGTTACAGCTATGCGTAGGAAGTATTGTGTTTAAAATCTGTATACTTTCTTTTATGTTCTTTCTGAACCGGTCCGAATTAGTGGTTCCATAACTTACAGAAATATTGAATAGAAAAAACACACTATAGGTTTTGTTGCATTACAATGGTAATAGTGATCATCAACATCAAACATCCTTTTCATAATATTTTTCAGCCATGTGCTGGGGACAGTGGCACGGATTCTAATCTTATAGTACAAAGAGCAAACGAGACATGTCAAAGACTGATTGATAACAACATCATTAATGGAACAGAATATACAGCTTCCGGATCTATTTACTCATCATTAAGTATGTAGAAAAATCATTTGACTCATATCATGTTTACTTACTGTAGAATAAAAAGTGAAAAACAAAAATACCGAACTCCGGGGAAAATTCAAAACGGAAAGTCCCTATTCAAATGGCAAAATCAAAAGCTCAAACACATAAAACGAATGGATAACAACTGTCATATTCCTGACTTGGTACAGGCATTTTCTTATGTAGAAAATGGTGGATTAAACCTGGTTTTATGGATAGCTAAACATCTCACTTGTATGACAGTCACATAAAATTTCATTATATTGACAACAATGTGTGAACAAAACAAACAGACATAATAGGTAAAATTGTCAAGAATAGGGGTACAACAGTCAACATTGTGTTATAACCTTAATCACCTTAAAAAAACAAATATGTCAACAAAGAAAAACAAAAAGGCATATAGACAAAGCACATTAGCAAAAACGAAAAACAAGAATACAAAAAATTATCATAGCACAATAACACAATAGCGGGATGTATCAGTACCGAGCCACTTCTAACGGATATTACCAAAAAATAAACTAAACAGTAAAAGTAATAATTGACAAGGACAAATGAAAGAAAACAATAACACGTAATTAAGATGATAAACAACTTCAGTACCTAGAATCTATACTTCAAGACCATCGTGTATTATTTGTGAAGTTGACAAGGAAAATTTATCAACAAGTCTTGGTATCTTCCGAAGAACTTTTTTAGAAAAAGGCCGAAACGTTCTTAGTCATAACCCTGGTTCATCAATTTTTTGCTCAGACAGTGGTGTCGTTTTACAAAGTCTGAGTAGCAGCTACAAGCTCTTCAGTACCGAATGATTTGAGAAATGTATATCCCATATGCAGGTGAAGTTTTCATATTGCTACTAAGGTGGTGGAAATTGATAATTTCAAAGTTAAAATCGTCTCGTTTGTCATAGATTCTGGTACTGAGATGACCGCTTATGTCAAATTCGAGGTATAAGTTTAAAAATGAGGCAGTGGAAGCCTTGTCTGTTGTTTCTTTAATTTCTAGTTCAGGAGGATATATTAATGGAACCCAAACTAAAATATAAATTGTATATAATGTAGATAATTTGCTCACAAATTGTTGTCAAAATGATGGAATTTTAGCTAGGTATAAGACCAGGTTTAATCCCCATTTTCTACCTAAGGAAATGCCGGTGCCAAGTCAGGAATGTGACAGTTGTTTTCCCTTCGTTTGATGTGTTTGAGTTTTGATTTTACCATTTGATAAGGGACTCTCCGTTTGGAATTTCCATGGAAGACGGTATTTTCGTTATCTTACTATTTATTTGCATATCAACAATATATCCATAACGTTAGAAAACATCTCCCACTGTATAAGTTAAAAATACAAGTTCCAAATGTTCGCTCTGAGCATATACTTTTGTGGATTTGTTAGGGTTTTAACTTCCCCGCCACTGATAACACGCGTTACAGGTTTTATTGCTCTATAATCAACAAGCGTGTAATTATTAAGATAATCGTGATAATCTTAATTGCTCCTGATACTCGTACTTTATCAAATGAAATTAACGATTTCATCTGTCCAACTGAATGCGACAATACATCAGTTTTTTCAGACTTTTTAGCAATGACCGAACGAAAAATACACAATTTATCACATGTGAAGCAGGATATACTTACCCTTCCGGAGCACCTGAGATCACTATTGGCTTTTGGTGGGGTTCGTGTTGCTCAGTCTTTAGTTTCTGATGTTGTGTATTGTATACTGTAGTTTGTCTTTTGTTTTTTTTTTGTTTTTTTTTTGCCGTGGCGTTGTCAGTTTTTTTTTCGACTTATGAATTTGAATATCCCTTTGGTTTCTTTCGCCTCTAATTTTTTTTCAAGTTAAGAACATTGTTGATGTTTCTCATATCGTACTGTGTGATTATTTTTTTTGGGGGGGGGTTTGATGTAAGTAATAGATGATTGATAGTTGGTGATATATATTTATTAACTACTTTTTTACTTCGGGCGGTTTGCAGCTTGATGTATTGTATATGCAACTTTATTTTGACGTATACAATTCTTTTGTTTTTGTGTTGTTTGCTGTTGCTGCCTTATTGATGTTTATTTCGTATTTTCTTTCGAAAAAAAAATCGATTTTTTTTAGACCATGGTGTATGTGAAGTTTTTTGTGAATCAACTCCAGGGTATACAAGACCTGATTTTACTAGATTTGGATTGATAGAAAACGGTACGCCGTGTCCTGGAACCTTAGATACTGCGGATGCAAATCAATATCCCCGACGCCCAGGGTTTTATTCTGCTTGCTTAGAAGGATATTGTCAGGTAATGCATAGTGTTAATGGCTGTTTCAATATTTAGTAAGTTTAAAGTTAAGAAAAGTAAACAGTTAAAAGAAGAGAACAAAATATAACAAAATTCAAAGAGTCAGTAATACATGTCCAAGAATGACAAATAACATAAAATGGACAGACAAATTAATTCAATAAGCCTTAATGCATAGAAAGTAAAAACTGCGCAACCCCTAGAGTAGTAGATGGTAAGCAGTTCATACTGTTTTAGTTTCAACGATCGGAAAGCTTTTGAGAATTTAAAGTTGGTGCTATGTCAAGAAGGTGGAGACGGCTATTTGAGCAATTTGCAGGGTAAAATAAGTCTGATAGAACTTTATACAATTTCTTCAACATAAACTCCTTCTTGGTGATTGGAATTTAACACAGAATTGGTAAAACACCACATGTACCCTATTTGTTTGACGAAATCCTTTGTCACACGCTCATTATTTGGAGGGGCAGACATTTCAGTAATATAGAAACATGTTGATAAATATTGTTTCTTCTTATCTTGTAGAGATTTGACTGCGCCAACACTCTGAATGCTGGTGTATTTGATGGATGTGGCGTGTGTAATGGTGACAATAGTACATGCATTATCCTAGAGGGATATTTTACTGATGATGTAGCTCAATGTAAATATTAATATCTGCTAGTGATTGGTAATGTTTTTTCAAACATACAAAACAATTCATTTAAGGATTGTGTGTATTAAATGATCAGGATGAGACACTTATTTCATGTAATTTTTTTGTTCCTGAGTACTTTTACATTCGTTAGATAATAGCGACAGGTATTTCTAACACAAAATATATTACTATATTAACAGAATCAAAAACAATTATAGACTCTTTCCGCGTTTCTTGCATTGTTTTTATTTACTGTTGCATTTTTTAAATTTGAATCGAAATTTATTATTTTAAAATTTATTAAGTCGTTCAAATAAATAACTCATATCTATCAAAAATAAAATTCTGTATTGCAATCAACCTCATGCAGTTTACATTTAAAAGTACATATAACAAAAATACCGAACTCCAAGGAAAATTCAAAACGGAAAGTCCCTAATCAAATGGCAAAATTATAAATTCGAACACATCAAACGAAAGGATAATATTTGTCATATTCCTGATTTGGTACAGGCATTTTGTTATGTAGAAAATGGTAGATTAAACCTGATTTTATAGCTAGCTAAACCTCTCACTTGTATGAAAGTCGCATAAAATTCCATTATATTGACAACAATTTGTAAACAAAACAAACAGACATAATAGGTAAAAATGTCAAAAATAGGGTACTGCAGTCAACATTGTGTTATAACCTTAATCACTATAAAAAAAATATATGTCAACAGAGAAAAACAAAAAATGTTACCAGCATAAACGTTACTATCAAGCAGACACGGTTAGTCCGCACATTGAGATTTCCAATTCCCGAGAAAATGGCCAACGTCGTTCTTCTTTCATTATGAAATTATGTTTTGAAAAATATGTTTTATATAGGGCAACGAAAAGAGTGGACACAAATTCCTGTTGGTGCATATAACATTGAAATATCATTTGTATGGAACGATATGAAGAAATATTATACAGGTAACAACTCACCCACGATGTATGTTAGCTAAGCACTGCAGGGAAAGTATATTCGTTTCATTTATCATATGAATTCATACATGCAATTTCGATTTACCTGCAATACCTAAAAATAAATATAAAGACGCCATTTGGATCATTTTCTCCAGACAAATCAAGGATCCCGTAAATATCCAACTGAAAATTTTACATTATAGATTTTGAGGATTTGATTACTGTTCTTGATATAGGTTTCGTCTAACAAAATCGTTTTCATATATTCAACTAAAGTACATGGCGGCATCGGAATAACAAATTGAACCAATCGAAAGAAAAAACCAACAGCCTATTTCAAACAATTCCTTTTAGACATGAAATTTACATTTCAGGTATTGAGGAAAACAAATATAAAAGATCATTTAAAGAATGGTGTATCGATTTGTCATTTCAGAAATATTTGATGAAGATGGGACTCCAATTATAACGAGTAGCATAGCCGGTGAATCTAGAATATTTCAAACTGGAGATAGTCCGGTCTATTTTAACGGAACTTGGTGGCATAATGATGCTTATGTTGCTATCATGCATGCCGAAGGACCATTGATAGGGCCAGTGATTGTGAAGGTTTGTAAAATGAATTAATACACATTTATGCATGTGAATATTAATCAAAATCGTATTTTGAAACCTTGAAATAAAACTGTATTCCCTCAATACAAGTGCAGTTCGGGGATTATCAGTTGGCAAAGTCAGCTTTTTACTTATTGTGTAAATAATATAAAAGTAGAAATCAGGTTTGCATTCCCTATTCTTGTTTTGATCAAGATGTTTTATTCCAAAAGGCTAGTTGTAAGTATTCATGACACAAAATCATTACACAAACTTGACAAAACTTAAACTATCAGAAACATCACTATCCCAACCGAACGTGTGTTATTCTGGTAAAAGTCTCATGTGCGTCTAAAACAGTAAATCGCATTTTTTTTTTAATTTACAGGTGTATAGTTATGGATCAAACAGTAATACTGGAATGAAGTATGTTTATTCTGTGCCCATTAACAGTAAGTTTTATTAGCGTAATCGCTTACTGAGGCATATCCTTTTATTGGCATGTTACTCTTAAATCGATATATTGTATCCTTCTACATATTTTATCAGATTAAGAAAAGGTTTTATCAAATCAGTTACTTGAACATAATTATTTTTGTGTTGCATCTCATACATGTAATTGTCTTCGTTATTGACGTTAGGTTGGATGTCGACAACACTCTTAAGGCCTGATATCAAAATCTAGATCAATTTATGAATCTGAAAGAATATATTGTGATATGTTTTTATTATAAAGTTAAAAAAAAGGATAAATGTGTATAATAAACATATAGAGCAGTTACATTATGTTAAAAAATACAAACACATAAATTTGTACTAATTACGTCATCAGGACAGCTACTTTTGTTGTACTGAGAACTTTTTACAATCAAGCGTTTTCATGCAGTTTTTATACTATTGAATTTTAGCATAGAAATCAATCTTTTGTACGGTAAAAAGGAAGTGAAAAGATGAAAATGAACAATGAATCGATTATAACTAGCTACATTTACTAACACCAGTAGAAACCAGTCGTATATATCCCGGTTATTAAATTATTTTGAAACAAATGAATTGATGGTGGAATGGAAAATTATCAGTAGCTAAGTAGTAAGTGCTCTGTACTGACATGATTCAACACATGCCGTTTTTGAATTCTCCGTTGATAGATTTAAAAAGAAAAGAAACTAGGTTCTTATACCCCATGCCTTTGACTTTCGGTGGATTTTTTTCATTTTTTACGAGTTCCTGTGTCCCTTCTTTTATTTTTCAAATAGACTATCTTTTACTTCAAAGTTGTTGACATAATCTATTATTTTAACAAATAACTTTAAATCAGATACAGAAGGGAAAAAAAATAAAGAAATGTAATTCCCAAATTATTTATTTGTTCTATAGATATGGGTTAAAAGATGCTAATGTTTCTATATATCATTTGATTTTTTTTAATTTCTGTTCCAAAGCTGCAACAGACAATATGATAACAGACGAAATGACAACAGCAGCATTGATATCTATTCCAGTGACCACAACAACCATTACACAAGCAAATATGATAAATGTTACAGATGCCATTGACACAACAACTGTGGAAAAAACAACTATTATGACTACAGTAGAAGCAACAAATACAAACGCAACAACAACAGCAACACTACTAACTTTTAATTGTGAGTTTAGACAAGTAGTAATTTCACCAAATGTAAATAAAATATTATGTGTTCTTATCGAATGCAAAGCATTTATTATGTGACAGTAAGAAAGGATGAAATTTGTTTTACGTACCTTTCTATCAATTCGATCATCTGTTGTATAATTCATAAAAAAAATAACAGGAATCCCTCAAACACAGAAAAGTACATCAAATATCGTTACCTGACTCTTCAAAAAAAAAAAATAAAGACATTAAAAAAACTCAGTAACATATGGTCTAGTTAGCCTGTGTTCTGACACTAAATAATTTTGGGTTATACCATCGTTGGGTCTCTATTTGGAGTCTTTTCTGGTTATATCCCTCCTCCTGTATTTCTGTATTTTCTTAATCCCTGGCTTTCAAATTGAATATGGTAAATCATAAGAGGCGCATCCACTGTTATTTTGATATTCCTAATTTATGATATTCATTCATTCTTCTGACGTTTAAATTAAATTATTTTCCTAAAAGTTTCACACGATATGATTCAAAATGTTAATTACATATATAGTTTTTTATTAAGATCTGTAACTATAGAAATTAAATGTTGTGTTTTTTAAAAAATTTACAAAATGAAAACAGGTGATTATTAAACTTCTAGCTTCTGCGCTCTATGCAAAACGTGATCGTCACTTGCATTAACTTCGTATAAATTTTAAAATAAGCAGCATTCAATTATATGAGTTAGTGATTAGATGTGATTGTCTACCACTAGGTCAATACAACTGCAAGTGGACATCCATTCTTCGAGTTAACTATCTACCTGAATGCAGGTTTTGTAATTGCATGCTTTAAATGATACATCCTTCAGGCATATTTTCATTTTTCAAACGATTTAAAAAATGTTATTAAACTGTTGATACAACTCCATTGCGCACATTTTGCATTAGTCAATTTTACCTTATCTAATTGGATTCTTTTTGGTTTTCATGTTGTTTAAAATTGAACCTTTAAAATGAGTGTTCCTGTGGATATCTGGATGAAGATATCAACTGAAACAACAACATATATATCAAACGTTGACATAACCATAACCGGGTCAGAGTCATTGCAAGCATTACAGTTGTACTTTCCTAATATTCCAGTATAACCTTCTTTTCCCTGCAAAATCCTGATATATATGACAAGTTTATTGACCGTAATGCATTGTTTTACTGTTCTGCTTATTTTATGTAAAGGTTTTTCAAGTTATGTGACCACCGAAAGGATAAACATTGCTTTCAATTTGCAATGTGTAGTTTAAAGTAAAACACCAGTACTGCATCTTTTTTTAGAGGAAAGACACATTTAGAACAGAAAGATGCATACGCCAAACAATACTTTCTGCAACGTGTGTATTCTTATTTATAAAGTTGGGTTTACTAACAAAGTAGCGTTAAAACGACCAGCAATTTGCAAATTTGATAATTGAGCTTTTATCATTAATACGTTGCATGGCATGGAAATACAACTATGTTAAATCTGCAATTGTGCGGAAGCACATTTTTGTTCTTCCATCGCCAGGATTCGAACTCGTGCTATTGGGATATCGAGACAATACTGCATGCACAGTACATGATATATTAGGCATGAAGATGGAATAGATTGCAGATTATATATATTTATATATATATATATATTCAAAATTCAAGAGTCTATCCAAAATTGAGGTAAATTGTATGGCCTTCCAAATACCGTTTCGATCCCTAACATCACTGAAGAGACATTAATTGTCGAAATCCGGATATGGTGTACTAATTTTTGCACCTTTTGTTTGCGGTATACCATCTTTTCCGCAAGTTTATTGTTTTCTGTTTGGTATTAAATTAAAAATTTTAAAAGATTCATTATGTAACAACTTGTGATCCGTTTATTTGGCAATCGCCAATGGCAGTCAGCAGGATTTAAGAACATTTGTTGGTCGACCTGTTAGTCAAATGCGTTTTGTTAAAATCTACTTTTTCACTATTTTTGGTCTTTTGGAAAATGTTGTTTGTGCTGTATTTAGACCCCTCTATCAAGAAATTTGTTTTGCATGCACACGTATAAAAATTGCGGTTTTTATCCAACGCAATCATAGGTTTGAACGTTGTTTTCAATTAAGACTTGTTTATATTTTTTCGTATGGGCTTGTATTATATTTTCATTCGGGTTTATATGATCCGTTCATCCTATTTCTAATATTTTGATTCTTCAAAATTCAAGAGTCTATCCAAAATTGAGGTAAATTGTATGGCCTTCCAAATACCGTTTCGATCCCTAACATCACTGAAGAGACATTAGTTGTCGAAATCCGGATATGGTGTACTAATTTTTGCACCTTTTGTTTGCAGTATACCATCTTTTCCGCAAGTTTATTGTTTTCTGTTTGGTATTAAATTAAAAATTTTAAAAGATTTATTTTGTAACAACTTGTGATCCGTTTAGTTGGCAATCGCCAATGGCAGTCAGCAGGATTTAAGAACATTTGTTGTTCGACCTGTTAGTCAAATGCGTTTTGTTAAAATCTACTTTTTCACTATTTTTGGTCTTTTGGAAAATGTTGTTTGTGCTGTATTTAGACCCCTCTATCAAGAAATTTGTTTTGCATGCACACGTATAAAAATTGCGGTTTTTATCCAACGCAATCATAGGTTTGAACGTTGTTTTCAATTTAGACTTGTTTATATTTTTTCGATTGGGCTTGTATTATATTTTCATTCGGGTTTATATGATCCGTTCATCCTATTTCTAATATTTTGACTCTTCAAAGTTCAAGAGTCTATCCAAAATTGAGGTAAATTGTATGGCCTTTCAAATACCGTTTCGATCCCTAACATCACTGAAGAGACATTAATTGTCGAAATCCGGATATGGTGTACTAATTTTTGCACCTTTTTTTTTGCGGTATACCATCTTTTCCGCAAGTTTATTGTTTTCTGTTTGGTATTAAATTAAAAATTTTAAAAGATTCATTTTGTAACAACTTGTGATCCGTTTATTTGGCAATCGCCAATGGCAGTCAGCAGGATTTAGGAACATTTGTTGTTCGACCTGTTAGTCAAATGCGTTTTGTTAAAATATACTTTTTCACTATTTTTGGTCTTTTGGAAAATGTTGTTTGTGCTGTGTTTAGACCCCTCTATCAAGAAATTTGTTTTGCATGCACACGTATAAAAATTGCGGTTTTTATCCAACGCAATCATAGGTTTGAACGTTGTTTTCAATTTAGACTTGTTTATATTTTTTCGTTTGGGCTTTTATTATATTTTCCTTCGGGTTTATATGATCCGTTCATCCTATTTCTAATATTTTAACTCTTCAAAATTCAAGAGTCTATTCAAAATTGAGGTAAATTGTATGGCCTTCCAAATACCGTTTCGATCCCTAACATCACTGAAGAGACATTAATTGTCGAAATCCGGATATGGTGTACTAATTTTTGCACCTTTTGTTTGCGGTATACCATCTTTTCCGCAAGTTTATTGTTTTCTGTTTGGTATTAAATTAAAAATTTTAAAAGATTCATTTTGTAACAACTTGTGATCCGTTTATTTGGCAATCGCCAATGGCAGTCAGCAGGATTTAAGAACATTTGTTGTTCGACCTGTTAGTCAAATGCGGTTTGTTAAAATATACTTTTTCACTATTTTTGGTCTTTTGGAAAATGTTGTTTGTGCTGTATTTATACCCCTCTATCAAGAAATTTGTTTTGCATGCACACGTATAAAAATTGCGGTTTTTATCCAACGCAATCATAGGTTTGAACGTTGTTTTCAATTTAGACTTGTTTATATTTTTTCGTTTGGGCTTGAATTATATTTTCCTTCGGGTTTATATGATCCGTTCATCCTATTTCTAATATTTTGACTCTTCAAAATTCAAGAGTCTATCCAAAATTGAGGTAAATTGTATGGCCTTCCAAATACCGTTTCGATCCCTAACATCACTGAAGAGACATTAATTGTCGAAATCCGGATATGGTGTACTAATTTTTGCACCTTTTGTTTGCGGTATACCATCTTTTCCGCAAGTTTATTGTTTTCTGTTTGGTATTAAATTAAAAATTTTAAAAGATTCATTTTGTAACAACTTGTGATCCGTTTATTTGGCAATCGCCAATGGCAGTCAGCAGGATTTAAGAACATTTGTTGTTCGACCTGTTAGTCAAATGCGGTTTGTTAAAATATACTTTTTCACTATTTTTGGTCTTTTGGAAAATGTTGTTTGTGCTGTATTTATACCCCTCTATCAAGAAATTTGTTTTGCATGCACACGTATAAAAATTGCGGTTTTTATCCAACGCAATCATAGGTTTGTACGTTGTTTTCAATTTAGACTTGTTTATATTTTTTCGTTTGGGCTTGAATTATATTTTCCTTCGGGTTTATATGATCCGTTCATCCTATTTCTAATATTTTGACTCTTCAAAATTCAAGAGTCTATCCAAAATTGAGGTAAATTGTATGGCCTTCCAAATACCGTTTCGATCCCTAACATCACTGAAGAGACATTAATTGTCGAAATCCGGATATGGTGTACTAATTTTTGCACCTTTTGTTTGCGGTATACCATCTTTTCCGCAAGTTTATTGTTTTCTGTTTGGTATTAAATTAAAAATTTTAAAAGATTCATTTTGTAACAACTTGTGATCCGTTTATTTGGCAATCGCCAATGGCAGTCAGCAGGATTTAAGTACATTTGTTGTTCGACCTTTTAGTCAAATGCGTTTTGTTAAAATATACTTTTTCACTATTTTTGGTCTTTGTGAAAATGTTGTTTGTGCTGTATTTAGACCCCTCTATCAAGAAATTTGTTTTGCATGCACACGTATAAAAATTGCGGTTTTTATCCAACGCAATCATAGGTTTGAACGTTGTTTTCAATTTAGACTTGTTTATATTTTTTCGTTTGGGCTTGTATTATATTTTCATTCGGGTTTATATGATCCGTTCATCCTATTTCTAATATTTTGACTCTTCAAAATTCAAGAGTCTATCCAAAATTGAGGTAAATTGTATGGCCTTCCAAATACCGTTTCGATCCCTAACATCACTGAAGAGACATTAATTGTCGAAATCCGGATATGGTGTACTAATTTTTGCACCTTTTGTTTGCGGTATACCATCTTTTCCGCAAGTTTATTGTTTTCTGTTTGGTATTATATTAAAAATTTTAAAAGATTCATTTTGTAACAACTTGTGATCCGTTTATTTGGCAATCGCCAATGGCAGTCAGCAGGATTAAGAACATTTGTTGTTCGACCTGTTAGTCAAATGCGTTTTGTTAAAATCTACTTTTTCACTATTTTTGGTCTTTTGGAAAATGTTGTTTGTGCTGTATTTAGACCCCTCTATCAAGAAATTTGTTTTGCATGCACACGTATAAAAATTGCGGTTTTTATCCAACGCAATCATAGGTTTGAACGTTGTTTTCAATTTAGACTTGTTTATATTTTTTCGTTTGGGCTTGTATTATATTTTCATTCGGGTTTATATGATCCGTTCATCCTATTTCTAATATTTTGACTCTTCAAAATTCAAGAGTCTATCCAAAATTGAGGTAAATTGTATGGCCTTCCAAATACCGTTTCGATCCCTAACATCACTGAAGAGACATTAATTGTCGAAATCCGGATATGGTGTACTAATTTTTGCACCTTTTGTTTGCGGTATACCATCTTTTCCGCAAGTTTATTGTTTTCTGTTTGGTATTAAATTAAAAATTTTAAAAGATTCATTTTGTAACAACTTGTGATCCGTTTATTTGGCAATCGCCAATGGCAGTCAGCAGGATTTAAGAACATTTGTTGTTCGACCTGTTAGTCAAATGCGTTTTGTTAAAATATACTTTTTCACTATTTTTGGTCTTTTGGAAAATGTTGTTTGTGCTGTATTTAGACCCCTCTATCAAGAAATTTGTTTTGCATGCACACGTATAAAAATTGCGGTTTTTATCCAACGCAATCATAGGTTTGAACGTTGTTTTCAATTTAGACTTGTATATATATATATATATATATATATCGATAAACGTCTTCAAACTATTGACTGACTAATTTAAACCATACAACTTTAAATATGCTATCTTTTTAAAGTGAAATTCCTTACGAAGGTTCTATACAGGCTGAATTTCAATGATTAACAATGATAATGTTGCATCGGTTCCATATACCAGATGCGCAGACAACAATTTCCTGACTATAAATTTTGTTAGAAATAATTTTGGAGATTATTTACACAATTACAGTGCACATAAGTTAGTCATTGGCATATCACATGACAAATGTCTTATCGACTGTTAAACTACTTTAACCATGCTTACCGATATTGGATCAGTGGGAGCAAGAATCAATAATTTTATTCAAATGGGAAATAATGCACATTAGAAGAACAAGAAAACTTGCTATGTTTTAGAACACAATAAGGTTGAAAAATCGACAGACAAAGAAAAAGAACTTTACATAACCATTAGGGATGATCTAACGTGGAATATTTGAATGGATAACATCTCAAACAAAGCAAATATTAATATTGTGTCTTGATCAAAATGTCCCTTACTTTTATAAATCTTGTTCTAGCAAATTGATTTATCGATATGAAGCTAATAAACAGTTCCGAATACTTTTAAAGATAGTTGCTCTATATACATCACAAACCTTCGTATGTTTAATAAGTATATTATTTTATGTTCTTCATTTCGATTACTGAGATTGAATCGTCAAATATATTGGAGTCCGGGATTTTTTTTTAGCTGATCATACATTTGGTTTTTAAACCTTTCTCGTTTTTTTTTTATTATACAAACTCCCATAAGACGTTCAAGACTACATAAAAACTCCGTCCAAGTGATTTTGGCCCTTTATGTTAATTTCTGTTTCGGCATGATCTTATATTAACACAAGGTTTAGTGTAAAACGTCATTATTTCAGAGTCGTTGTTAGAAAAAAATATCTTTAACAGGGACAATTAGCAGTGTTACATTTGAAATACTATCTCAGTTTGTTAATATCTATTGCCTCTCTTTCAAGAATATAAATCAAACAAATGTAGATAAATTAAATCATCGAATTGTACATCATTAATATATACACTGACATTAATATTACTTCTAACAAAACGTCAATGTAGGCTAATTCCTCTTCTGTCAGCTGTGCTGCCCTACAAGCGTCGTAAAAATACTGATTGAGATCATTGTAGGTTAGGTGTCCGCCTTCGATTCCAGGCGAGTCTGTTGCATTTGACTGATCTCAGTTTAATAGTTATAAAAAATCTTTGCTTTAAATCTCAAATCATGTTTAACTGACCCTTTTCTGCTGGCAATGTATGTACCAAGTTAGGAATATGACAGTTGTAATTCATTCTTTCCATTGTTTGATATAGTCGAGCGTTTGATTTAGTCAGGTTTTAATGATTTATTTTTTTTTGTTTTTTTGTTTTGTTTTTTTAGTTTACCTAGAAGTCGGTTTTTTAATTCTTTTTTGACAGTTGCATTCAGTTAATTTATTACCATTTTTTCATGTTTTTTATTGTCTTTCTTATTTTCAGAGGACCCGAATATATGTAGATCCAACAGATTTTAAACTTTTATTTCATTGAACTTAGAGGCACTTGTTATAATGTATATCTTTGTTATTTATAGAAGAGCTGATCATGACAGTTGTCATAGTGTACAGATTTATATTTCAGTGAAATATGTGTATGTAGTTGGTGGATGTGGGGGTACAGGAGTATTGATTACAATAGTAGTCCGTCTTCATATCTTATACAGGAAGAAAAAGAAAAAGTAAGATTATTGTCATTTGTTCTAAAGACATCTGCTGTATAAGTTTTTTTTTTTTTTGTATCATACCTAATTATATTGGAACAGAGGTATAATACACAGTTGATAAGAAACTGCTGTTATAACCTTTTTTTATTATACCTGGTTTCAATAGAGCGGGCAATACTAATTTGACTCGGTCTATCCATCTGTCTGTAACACATTTCTCAACAGCAACAATTCATAGTACCAATTTGGTACCAATCATCACATTGGTAAACTTTACTGTGTAACATACACTTATCTGATTCATTTTTACCACATACTTCGACATTGCTACACATTTTAGAAATCAAACATTTTTATTGCATTTCTATGAGCAGCAAACAATCAGAACATCTTTTATATTTATTACCAAGCTTTAAGTATTGGTAAGCAAAAGTGTGTACTAATCTCATAGTTTGATCAATAAAATTTGGCATTCAAATTTAAGTCTTCGACATTTTTGCAGTTCAGTAAAAAAAAGGAAAAATTAACAAGATCTAACAAAAAACGTCTTATGAATTGAAGATTCATTTATATTTCCCAATTAGATTACCCAAGTTTTTTCCAAATGAAAATAACAAAATTGCATTAATGTTTTTAGTAGATAAATCATTTGGACCCTCAATAAAGAATTTCTGGGCCATTGGACTGTCTGTATAGTTTTGTTAGAAGTCATAAAATATATGGCAGACGCCACCTACTTTTTCAACGCTCCCTCACTTAAATTTCCTACAACTGCCTACAACTGCCAGTTGTTAAGAAGCCATCATTTAATCAATCGATGAATCTGCAGACATTTGACAAAATAACATAGATTTTCTGTATGCAAAGTAGACTATTGACGGAAAGGTGCACTGAGAAACCTTTAAGGCCAAAGAAATTAGATATTACAAAATCAAATGATTTTAGCTTAAAGATAACTGTTAAGTATGTAATTGTTAAGTAAACTGTAATGTCTTTGAAACATTAAGAATATTTACGGCAATTTAAGTCGAATTATGTTAAAAAAAAAAAAAATTCAAAACTCATTCAGGGTTCCGCAGATACTCTGTGTTTTGCATGAAGTGTAAAAGTGTAATGTTGACTACCAAAATATTAAATCCATGCATTCATCAAAATTCATTAAAATACGAAAAGAATCAAACTTTTTTTCTTCAGATGATATTCCTCGATCTTGTAGAAACTTCTGCCAAATTTCATAAGACTCCAATGATAACAAGGCAAATGATATTTATAGAAAATAATCCAAAACCAGACCATATGCTAACAAAATGAGGAAAACAGTATTTTTAAAATTTGCTTAAGACCATCATATAGCTTTCACTCACGATTCATTGTATTAAAAGAAGTTTGTCAAAGTTATCGGTGTCTCAAAAATATCTGAAACCTAATGGTAAAGGAACACAAGTTACAAGGTTGACAAAAATTCATAAAATGATTGTTTTGTTTCAAACATTTTTAAAAGCGGAATTGTGAAATAATATAGCAGTCGTTTTTGTTCAATTTAGTATATATTAGCTCAAAAACATTGCTGATGTATTATTGGCTGATTGTTTGAATCTATATCCATGCCAACTTCAATTCAACCCTTAACTGGGATGGGCCACACATGTGTTAAGCATGCTAAGTTATCAAAAGGGAGAGCATGTCAACATTGAAAAGTTAAACAAGGCAGACATGGAGAAGAACACTCGAGTCCATGCGTTGTTAATTGTTTCCTTATGGCTTTCAAAATATGGATAGTCGTTTGGTATGTTTTAAATTAAAAATGAGAATTTGAGTCGAATCGGAGAACAATATTTTGTATTGGGGTATCCAATTTTATATGTCACATTATTGTCGCTTTATATTCAAATGAACGCCAACAGAGTGGGTAGGCTGATATCTGTTGCAACATCGTACGTTCAATGATTGGGAAACAACAACGAAGAACCAATATTGACAGCGCGCTGTACAAAGTTGAACACCATCTTAATATCAATAGCGACAATAAAACGTGCCTGGCTGGATAAAAGAAACATTTTCACCACAAACTGCACCTAAATCTAGACCCACCACCGTTGTCGACGCCAACAATGTAATGAAGGATCGATATGTCTCGCTTCTGTGATAAATATGATCTTTAGACAAACATTATTGAGTTGGTACTTGCATGTGCTCTATATTTTCATTGTTTTAAAAACTTTCGAAAAAATGACCCAAACCTATATTTTTTTTACTGAAAACGCAAGGTATTTCCCTTGACATAACAACTGCTTCTATTAAGGCATCATGGTTCAAAACATTAAACCCCACAAAAATGGTAATCTTAAATTAAATGGTCAGATTTCAGGAAATCATTAGACCAAATCATCAGTCAAATAATAAACCAAGGTTAAATGTTGGTCCTACCATATGTTGAAGCATATTCATCCAGTTTCGAATGAAAATAATATATATATTGCAGTTTTAATAGAGGACCATGAAATGTGCTTATGAAAACAACATGTTGTTTCAATGCTGAAGTTAAAACTGTTTGTGCTTATAAGCAAATATGCTGTGGTTATTTAAATCATTATTTCAACAAGAGTCCGATTAATCTGCGGTAAACAAGGCCAAAGATTACACACACACACACACACCCTCACACACACACACACACTCTCTCTCTCTCTCTCGCTGTGCCAGATCTGGACTGAATCAACTAATGTTATGTTATAGGGAAAAGTACACAAATGGCAATCCTACAGATCAGGCAACTATTCTGAATTCTTAATTTCAAAAACCTAGAAAACATGTCTATCATTGTGACACAAACGATTAGTATTCATCAACGTTTTCATGATTGGCACCATAAAGTTTGAGTATTGAGTATTGTTGATTTCAGTCATTCTTTAGCTGAATTCCCCTGCCGAATGTATGTTCACTTAAAATTACTGCAACACTTAAAAGATATTTTTTCTTGTTTTCTTACAGTAGTGTCAAGACCATCTCCATCAAAAGTAAGCCCAAGAATATCACAGATCCGTTATTTATGAAAAGAAGAAAATGACTAAATGCACATGTTTGCAGTAGGGATTTTTTTTGTATATAACAATATTTTTTTATTCTACGTGCTGTGCTAACTAAAAGTGTATTTCTTACTCATACTATTATGATTAACTTTCATATAATATTCTCATTTCTAGGACTATAATGCCTCATCTGAACAGATAGAAAAGGCATTTCCATACAAGATATATTATTATTTCCATATAATAAATTTATTATTGTTAAGTTTGAGTATATTGTATTTTTGTTGAATTCTTCTCACACTGAATGTAATTTTACTATTTTTTTAATAAAGATTTTTATGAATTTTGTTGAATCATTAAAGCCTTTGTAATACCATATTTTCCTTATTTAGCATATATATTTAGAACCCATGTAGATATGTTCAAACGTAATTTAAACAAAACTATCATTGAAATATACGCTTGATGGTTTTTGTAAGATGCAAGATTTGATGAATAAAATATAATGTTCTTAAGAAAAAAAGAAAAAAAATTTCCGTGTTTCAATGTAATTATATTTGTATCTACATACAGGTCAACTCAATTTTATATTCTTCTAACATATGAATATGTATATGATAAGGCCACTTTTTCGCCCCTTGAAATTGAATAAGTATTATAAATATGCCAAAATAACAGTCCTCCTGCTTTCTGAACACTGTCAATCATCATAAATTAAGTTTTTGAATTTTGTTTTACATATTTGCATTTTAGCTGCCAAAATAGGTTAATTTATAAATCTTGTTATTTAGGTATGAGCTTTACCCAAAACGATATTATGCCACAAGCTGTTTTTTACAAATGTGTGTAAAATATCTTTTTGGGCAAAAGCCTTAGCTTATATCTATAATGACAAAAACCATTTGCCATTTTATGTCAAATAGAGCAATTTCGAAATGTTTATGACATCATGGTGACATTAATGGTGCCCTTTCTGCACTAGTTATTTATTCATAACATTAACATATTTTTTAGGCTAAAACACATTAAGTCATTTTGTAATTTCAGGAAAAAAGAATTGCCCTTATCATACCTCTCTGGCCACTAAATTATTATAGATTTTAGTCATAAAATAAAACAATTCACAGGTGTCATCTACTGGCATAGCACTCAGAATGACTGGTACATTTAAAAGCTGTACATTTTTGAGTGGCTACGGTAACTGAATATATACTAAATTAGGCATTCATTATCATCAGTTACACTAAAAAAAAACTGCACTGCATTTCACAATCCCACTATCATTCACCATATTCATAATATTAATAAACTCATTATAGATAATAGATGGTAAAGTTGTGATTCTCTAATTTTTGTGCTATTTTCACATTTTTTGATCGGTGATAGAAAACATGTTTCACCTCTATAGTGAAATATCTGTTCTCGGCAAATGATTGGTCGAAATTTAATTATGACGTAAAATTTTCTTGGTTTCTTCTGAATTTCCTATTGTGACGTCATGAAAAAAGGCGACAATGCCTGATTACATCAAATATAAAGTACACAACTTTCTGCAAATCTTTGAAAAGGAAGGATAACAATCATTAGAGAAACAGATTCGACCACTATAACTCGTGTATTACGATATTTCTCCACTCTCAACAGTTAACTTTACTTATTTAAAAAACTCGGCAAGCCTCGCGCTTTAAATATTAAAATTTAACTGTCCCGAGTGCAGAAATATCGTAACACACTTGTTGCAGTGGTGGAATCTATATTTCTAACATTTATTGACAAATGTTTTAGAGGAGATTTATCCAGATTTATCTAGAGAAAAAAAGATAAACAAAATATTTCTTCACTTTTGGTAGCATATATAAAATGTTTAGTTTTGCTTTTACGTCAATTGGAAAAGAAAAGATATATAGAGTGCTTGCATATGGGACAACTATTACATAACTATAGGGAAATAATTAATACTAGTCAATCAATAAAACAGCATTTTGTTACTGATATTCATCTTAAATATTAAGAAAGGTTACACCATTACAATAAAAACTTATTAGCTTGTCTCAAAGTCAAGACCACTCTGAGTTTGAACTGAAGCAGAATTCTTCAATACTTAATTTACTTGAGTAATCTGACCTGTGAACCTGTATATAGTCTAATTGCATTGTACAAAATTCACAACAAAAGTTTCAAATGTTAATCACTACTAGACAAACTTTCAAGGCAAAAATTGTCAAGTTTCAATATCATGTCAAAATACAGCCATTACTGAAAATTAAATGTTTTTCCAATAATCATTACGTAAATCATTTAAAACAATAAAAGGTATTAACAATTAGTCCCAAACCATTCAACATGTTTTCAAACCATTATGTGAAAGTGCATATATGTATAGCAATACTATTTATATAAAAATAAGGAGATATGGTATGATTGCCAATGAGACAACTATCCATCAAAGTTCAAATGAAGTGGATGTAAGCAATTGTAGGCATCCGTACGGCCTTCAAAAATGAGAAAAACCCATACCGTATAGTCGGCTATAATAGGCCCCGACATTAAAAATAGGAAACAATTTAATTCAGACAACAAACGGCCTAATTCATAACAAAACAATTTACGAAAGACAAATATGACATACATGAACCAACGACAACCACAAACTACAGGTTCCTGACTCAAGACAGGCACATACAGAATATGGCGGGGTTATTGGGTCCTCAATGCTCTTCAACTTCGTACCTTATTTGCCCTTTTTAACTTTTTAATTTGAGCATCACTGATGATTTTTTGTAGACGAAACGCGAGTCTTGAGTAACAATCAATTTCAATCCTGGTATCTTCCTATATATAAAAATATAATAGGTATCGACAGATTGTAGAACCATGAATGTGTATAACAATAAAATTTAGCATTGCTTAAGTTACTTACAACAAAATCAGTATTAACATAAAAATAAGGAGATGTGGTATAATTGCCAATGAGACAACTATCCATCAAAGTTCAAATGAAGTGAATGTAAGTAGTTATATGCATCCGTACGGCCTTCAACAATGAGAAAACTCCATACTGTATAGTTGGCAATACAAGGCCTCGACATGAAAAATATGAAAAAATTCAATTTAGAAGACTAACAGCCTATTTTATAACAAAACAATTACGAAAAACAAATATGCCAAACACGAATCAACGACAACCACTGAGCTACAGGTTCCTGACTTGGGACATGCATATTTAGAATGTGGCGGGGTTGAATATGTTTGAGGCGCCCACCCGTCCCTCTAACCTGGGACAATTGAATAAAGGCACAACACAACAAGAAACTATGCAAAACAATAAACAAGAAAAAAACAAAGATGAGAAACAGCAATAAACGACAACCACTGAATTAAAGGCTCCTGACTTGGGACAGGCACATATAGAATATGGCGGGGTTTAACATGTTTGTGGGCTCCACACCCTCCCCTTACCTGGGACAGTGGTGTAACAGCACAACATATGAACAAGCTATAAAAATCAGTTGAAAAGAGCTTACTTCATTAGATCGATACAAAGCATGAAACATCTAACGAAAACATAGACCGGACGTGGCAGCGTATCTATACATCCCACAAAAAAACTATGTGTACAGACCTGAAAGTTCTTGCAGTTACTGACAGCTAGTTCGGTATTTATTTTTGCTATTTTACTTTCTCTAGTTCAAAGCCAATAACAACTAAACAAAATACGAATCTAAGACTAAAATATCAATTAGTACACATCCAACATCCAATGGATTGAGTACAAAGACGTTATCAACAGTCATAGAAAGATATGACCGTGTGCAATGCAAAAATATATTGGTATCGACAGATTGTAAAACCGTGACTGTGTATATGTGTATAACAATAATATTTAGTATTGCTTAAGTTACTTACAACAAAATCAGTATAAACATAAAAATAAGGAGATGTGGTATAATTGCCAATGAGACAACTATCCATCAAAGTTCAAATGAAGTGAATGTAAGTAGTTATATGCATCCGTACGGCCTTCAACAATGAGATAACCCCATACTGTATAGTCTGCAATCAAAGGCCTCGACATGAAAAATATGAAACAATTCAATTGAGAAGACTAACTACCTATTTTATACCAAAACAATTTACGAAAAACAAAAATGCCAAACACGAACCAACGACAACCACTGAGCTACAGGCTCCTGACTTGGGACATGCACATTTAGAATGTGGCGGGGTTGAATATGTTTGAAGGCGCCCACCATTCCCTCTAACCTAGGACAATGGTGTAACAGCACAACATTTGAACAAGCTATAAAAATCAGTTGAACAGGGCTTACCTCACTAGATCGATACTAAGCATGAAATACCTAACGAAAACACAGACCGGTCTTGGCAGCGTATCTATACATCACCCCCCCCCCCAAAAAAAAAAAAAAAACAAAACAAAAAATACACTAAGTAAAGATCGGAGAGTACTTGCAGTTACTGGCAGCTAGTTCATAGCCAATAACAGCTAATGAAAAAATCATGTATCTACATGTAAGACTAAAATATCAATCATTACACATCCAACATTCAACGGATTTAGAAATACGTCATTAACAGTCAGAGAAAAACATGACCTTGTGCAATACCAAATTACTGGTATCGACAGATTGTAGAACCGTGAATGTGCATATGTATATAACAATAATATTTAGCTTGGTTTTAATTTACTAATAAAAAAATCAATATCTATACCAATAAAAACAATATTCAAAGACTTAATTACCGTTTCGAATTGATAACCTTTAAGAATAAGTTTACTTACAGGACTGATAAGTTTACCTGGTCGTATCTCAATTTCTGGGCTCGTTTAACAACATTACCGTAAAAAATAGGATGTGCTATTCTGTTTGAAATAAGTTTTCTACAGGTACAGCTATAAGCTTGCAAACCAAATCTTTGTTTCTATGGAATAATTTAGTAAAGGTTTTAAGTAATTTGTGGTAACGAAATCCCTGACTTAGTACGTGTTTGTAAGTTACAATTAATACATAGATTACGATAGATATAAGAAGATGTGGTATGAGTGCCAATGAGACAACTCTCCATCCAAGTCACAATTTGTAAAAGTAAACCATTGAAATTTAAAACGACAATACAGACACGGGCATAGCAAACGATTTTGGATATATAAACACCGTAAGACGGTGCAAAAAGAACATTACCATTCAAAAAAGGAAAATTAACAATAGGGACAGAAAATTCGTCCCTTTTGTCGTAAATTTTTGTGTAGAGTTTTTCATGTAAAACTGATATATCTAAATCTAGGAAAGGACAGTTATTGCTATTAATGTTTGATTTATTTAA